AAACATGATATGAAAAATAGTAGTGAACTTTGATGGTGTCAGCTGAATAAAATACCCTGTGCACTATTAGATACCTCAACAAAATGACCCTGACCCAACTCCATTGCATTATCTATTAACAATAAGCTACTACATGAAGAAGAGAATCAAGGTTTAGGCAAGAGATTTGGCACTATTTCAAACTTGCAATTCACAATTTGTGATCTAGCATCCATGTTTATCTTCAACCGTTCAACCCCTGAGAGTGACTAGTATCTAATATCTCTTTACAATATCACCCCTGAATCACACATCAAGAATAAAGGAAATGATCAATAAATGGTAAAGCTCTTGATTGTCAAACAAATTCTCCTTGTCAACACCTTAGGGAATATATAGAGCACAGTATGGAGATTATGCATACTGATGTTAGGGTGTAAAGGGTTAAGAACCAATTAATCTTTTCAATCCAAACCTGCCAAATCGCCATCATCCTTGATCATTACATCATAGGTGTATTTTTACATTTTTACAAATTGCCATCATCCTTAATCATTACATCATAGGTGTATTTTTACCTAATTTCAACATTTGCTACTTGTATCACATCACCACATGATGGTCATTTTAATGATATTACTGTTAAGCAGAAAACTTTGGGACACATTTCATCTAAATAAGTTATTATAGTCAAATTGGCTACACTCCACTTAGTATGAAGGAAACAAGTGATGAGGATAAAAGTATTACTAGCACCTAAGTAAATTTGCAATGAATCAAGTAGAATGTTTCATATACATTTATGCTTGAGGTAGCACGATCTTCTCTACCATTTAAAAAGTAACCCAAGTTGATGTACTCCAAAAGACAAACAGTACCAGGTACTTTATCAAGAACTAAGATAAAAATCATCCATATGACTGAGTTTAAAATTCATAACTAGATTCACCAGAAAAAGCCTTCTGAATAAAACAGCAAAGCTTGCCCACTCACTGCTCTTTAACATAACCCTTACTTACAGCTGCAATACATCACCTGGAAATTTGTTTGGCAGACTGGCATTTCCACACAGCCACCAATACAATTCCCACAAGTTAGAAAAGAATAATAATAAATTAAAACAACAACAATAGAAACAAAAAATTTTCATTTCCTTGTGTCAGACAAATGTTTGTCTTACACACATTAACACAAATATGAAGATGAAGTGAAGTTATTGAGAATTTTGTGTCAAGCCAATTCCAATCATTTTTGTATATGCATAAAGAGAAAACACAGCTGCCATCCAGCATTCCACTCTTTCAACTATTACACCTACAAGCGGGGTTACATTTTAACAGTAATTTTCTTTGTTCCATCTGCTTTGGAGATGATTGAGAAAGTCCAAAATACTCTCACATTTGATCTTGATATATTGTGAAGATGCCTTCTTTATAGCACCAATTTGACCACAGATTGCTGTTCATTTTTCAGAAATTTTGATACAAGCCTCACAGGAGTATTATAACACCCTTCTAAACTGAAACTTGAAATTTCGAACATACTACTTGTGGTGAAAGCAACCTATTTGAACACCTTTGGGTTTGGTCAAAGTGTCTGATCCTGCCTTCTTTTTGTTGTTTACTACAAGAACAGCTCAACAGATATAACATTATTTGCTGATTTTCAAACGCAGAGAGAAATTTGTTTAAAGTTATTGCTGCTATAGGGTTGCTGGCTGTTATTGGATATTAAGTTAAAAGACTTGCTCTAATTGTGAAGGAAACAAATATTCAAAATTGGTGAACGAAAAAACATAAAAATAAAAAATATCCTTTTCAACTAATTTCCACAGTGTCACGTTTAAAGGAAAGAAGGTTGCATCATTAAATTGTGTCAGAACTGCATAAAGAAAGGAAAAATTGGAAAATTCAATAAATTTATGTCACCCCCAACACAGTAAAGAATTTAAAGCCATAAGAGCTACGATCACAAACTTATCGTCACAAAGACCATGTTATTTACACACCATTTTATCAAACACATCTCAAATGAAAACGACCAATGAAAGGTCAACTTTCGAGAAAGCCAAAAAATTAGAATACCCAGAGTCACATAATTGTCAAATTATTAATGACAATATTGTCCTCGATGATTAAAAAATTTTTCAAAATAAATCAACGTTTTGCCCATCTAAATTCTCAAAAATGCCAGATCCGAATAGGCAATACCGCAATTTGTTTGTTCTGAACTCCATATCTCAAATTGAAGTTATGACGATGAATTCAAACGTATTTTGCCCGCACTTGCTTCCAAACAGCCTTGAACGATTAACATGCAAAAGGAGTATTTAAATGTGCTTTTCTTGAATGAGCGAGATTTCATTATCGCGGTTGGGTACTGCGTTACAATCCACATGATTGATGAGAAATTCTTTTTATTTCTAATACACAAAGGATGAAGTAACGTAGCTAAAATCGGACTGAAATGTTATTCCTACGAATTCACGCCGTTTCAGGAAAGAAAATAGATGACGACCTTGATCAAATTGGGAGCTTTTTTTCTCGTTTATTCGTCCCTTATTTCAGAAACTAAATTTACATGGATTAAGAATATTTAGAAAACTTTTACAATACAGTAATCCCCTTGGAGAGACAGATTTCGGGTAACCAACGGGTCATGTAACAGTTTGGAATATGATAATAAACTCGATGCAAGATTCACTCGAAAAGTGGAGAAAATAAAAACTGAAAGAGTTGTGCTGTAAAGAAGAAATAGTTAAAAAGGGGAAAAGTGAACGTGGCTTACTGTTTACTGCTTGGATGTCTCTTATGATCAACGGCCCATCCAAGATAAATACAATGGATCACTCTATATATTTGGCACTTCCTGCAAAGCCGCAATCAACTTTAACGCATCGAGGCTAAAAGCTTTCTACCATTTTCACTGACTACTCAAAGTGAACTTACCAGCATTTCCGAGTACTTTATAAAATCGGTATTCCAGATGAAGTTGTGGTGCTCTAGATTTCATAGGCTCCTACGAAAGAAAAATATTTCGACATTTACCATCAGCTATAGGTAATATATCCTGTAATTCGTCAAGATATCTTCGCACCAAGCAAAATAAGTGAAGTCAGTCGCGACTTACCAGTTTGATGGCGACATGCTCATTGTTGTATAGATTTTTCCCTAGTCAACAGAGAGTCAATAAGTGAGTAATCTTAATGTTTTTATGATAAGACAAGGAGCTAGTAAACCGTTGAAAAGGCATAGTTTATACAAAACAAATCGTCTAAAACATGGTTGCCCACTAAGGTTCGTACCAAGTCGGAGTTCACCGAAGTTTCCACATCCAATTTTCTTGCCCACACGAAAATTCGGTCCCACCATCATCACACCTGAACCAGACCCAGAACTATTCCTTGGCGAGTGTAAGCTTCCTCTGGAAGGCCGAGAAGCTTTTCTATCCCGTTCGCGGTCGCTCTCCCTTTCTCGTTTGGACTGCATATCGACGACCGCCGTGATATCCCGAGTCTAGGTTGCCGCCGGTGAGATGTCTAAATTCTCTTTCCCGTTTGACTGGAAAGCCATAAATGATAACTCATTCTGTTCTTAACACATCCCCGAGTACTACATTTCAAAACTACTACCTCCAAACTGTCAAAGAGGCGAATAACTGACGATTCCCTTGGCTTTACAGAACCCTTCAAACTCACTTCTGTTAAATGGAGAAAGTTGTTGAACACGCAAGATCAACGAGCATGCATTGCGAGCCGCGAACCCATGTCGCCTGACCTTCGGGTGGGTGTTGTCCCTTAGCAACCTTTGTTCTTTTATTCCGAAAGCTAAACAAAACGGACAACGTTGTTCATTTGTACCTTTACCTAAGGTTTTTAAAAAAAATGCTTGAGCAAGAAAACTCGATGCGTTCTTCGTCAACACGTTTTGAAATAATTTTTTTCATGAAGACTGTACAAATAATACCTTAAAATCTAGCGTTATTATGCCTGTTTAGATCTGTATATTTTGCAATGACACGTTAAATCAAATACTAAATCTCAGCGGTATTCAGAGAGAGACAAAGAAAACCACTTACGCTAAGCTGGCTTAAGCTAATAGAACTAAACAAGAAACAATTTGATTTGAATACCGCGATAGAGGAATTCCACAAATTTTGATCATCAAACAGTTAGGAGAACAAAAAAATTAAAGGTGTGTTGAGTGTGTTTATTCATGACTCTTTTTATGATATCATTTATCAGTTATTGATATTAGCTCGTAAAAGAATAAGAGAATAGTACTGTTAACATTATTCATTGATCAACAAACCATTTAAGTGAGAGAAGCCTAATTACTGGCGATAGCGTAAAAAAAGCGCTGTTAAGACTAACTAATTGAATTTAGTTATGCAATTTATATCGTGAGCCTTTCGGTTTTCTCCTCACTACTAGTCCTTCTGGGATTCCGGGAAAATCATTTCAAACCCGAATGCGAGAGGGGGGATCACAAGTCTAGACGTTTTGGCGTTCTAGACGTTTTTTGTCCTCCGTTAAGTCTCGAGGCGTTTAATCTTGACCAACAGACTGGATCAGTTATCTCGGGCTTTTTTGAAGACGCTCAGTCCTTCAAAGAATTGATAATAAAATTTTCTTCGACGCCCTTGTCCGTCAACGTCTTTAACCGAAAGACTGATTCATAGTATTGACAAATACTCTTTGCGAATATTCTGTAAAAAGTCTTTGTTGAGCAGAAGTATCTATTCTAATCATATTCTTCTTTTTCAGCCGACGTTTGTCTCGACAGCCGGCTGAGAGAATAATACCAATTGTTTTAAAAAAAATGTAATTAAATTTTTTTTAATTGTTTCAAAAAGATTTAATTAAAATTAATTGTTAAAAAAAATTATTAAAAAAACCTTGTTATACTCCGGCCTGTCTTATTATTCATTTATCAGAGGAGGTCTAGGAACAAGTATGAAAATAAGCGGGAAAATGTGGTCAGCGGTGATAAGCAACAAAACAAAATGCGCTTTTGGGACATTTTCCGTTGGAAGCATCGTTTTCTTTAGGTTTTCAACTGATTGTTTTTATAACAAAAGAGGTTTTGATGCGCCGGTAATGGATGTCACATAAATTGCCGTCTCTTAAAGTTTCCAGCCACTTCAAAACAGTGTAAATCATGTGAAATGGCGACGAGTGATTGGAGTTCAACGTACACGGACGGTGCAGTTTCCGCAAACCGGTCGCTTTCTCCCATAGCTGTGTCAACAAGCTCTCCGCAAGACAGCGGGAATAGTTCACCACATTCTCCAGATTTTGCTCGAGATGTAAGTGTCCTTAAAATTATCTTTTATAGAAAAATATTTTTGTCTACACAGGCTCTTCAGCTCGTAATTATAAATGATTTTGAATGTTAGCGACGACTTATGATCGTGTCGATTTCCTTGTGTCCATAACAGTAACGCTTTGGTTTATATGAGCTTAAGTGAAACCCTATTTACAATTCATGTCCGGACTAATAGCAGTTATTTTTGCACAGAATTTTTGAAAGAAAGACACCGTTTGCTCTTTGATTAATTATGTTTTCTTCAGTGTGGCAGATGGGCTTGGATTTTGCGTCCACCATCGAACTGAGGACAATGTTTAGTTAGGGAATTTATTTCAATAGATTCCGACATCCGATCATGAATCACCGTTTAATTGTTTTTTGCACAATAGTATTATGGTTTTAACATCCTTATTTTTAAAATTAAACGGATGATCTCTCAGCACGGTGACAAAGACGGTGCCAAAGTTTTGTTTTCAATTCTCTCCAACTTACGAAGGTGTCGTGTACTCGCAATCTTCCTTCTACATAAATTTGAAATTTGTTTTTATTTTTTTGTTTTAGAATTTTTAGGCAATTCGTAGTGTAAGAATTATATGATGCTTTTTTGGTTACACGTAAACCAATTCTCTTCAGATATTCACTATAGTAAAACAGTTTTTGTTGTTGAAGTACAGAATGATAGGCCACTTTGTGCCTACATTACAATCCTTTGCTAGCTGTTGTGCTTTTACCTTTGTAAGTCAACTGTTTTGAGCCTCTCCTTTTGAAGTTTACTTGAAACAGTTTTTAGTTCAATCCTCAATATCACAAGGGTGTAGTTGAGGGGGGAAGGCCCTAGG